TGGTGCTGAAGGATAGCTCTGCCATTCAGCCAGTTCAGGAACAAACAACAATAATTTGCAGTAGGCCTATAGCCTAATAGTCCTGCGACTACATGGTATAGCAATTTGTAGGCTATAGCCTAATATAAATACAAAACATAAGCGCTTTAGTTGCGAGTAGGCATTTCATTGTATTGTGTAGCTTACAGTACGTTGTATCATAAATAAACTTTGATTTGATTTGCTTGAACACATGGTTACAACATACCCTATCACAGAATAGAAGAAAACAGAGGTGAACTATCAATTCATAGCATATTTCATCTATGCAAATACATTCTATCAAATCAATTGACCAAGTAGTGAACATAAATCATTACTATATAGAATTGCAGGAATTTTGTTTTAAATCAACCATAAAATCAAGCTTTTGGTGTGGAGTATTCATGCATCTCAATAAACTATAACCTTAATGCATTGTTACCTCCAACTTGGCCCAATTCACATTTCCACTTGCCAACCCTGACATACCAAGCTAGAACGGGCCCTGTGTCTCAACCAATAGCCAATAATGGATAAATATCCCAAGCAGGGCTACAGCAACTTCCAAAGAGGGTCAGGCTCTTTGCAGTGGCCACTCTGGTTTGGGTGACCTCGGCAGAAAGGTGTCACTGAAACCAAGTGGTCACATATCATTCTGGGTTCTACTGTGCAAGAGGGGGTCCATGGAGTTTTATGAACATCAAGGCAGACACACAGTGAATTTGGATCCTAGATCTCGTTAGTGTGATGATAAGTTTAATGTGGCTAAATCCCCTCTCACTCTGCCAAGCTGCAGGGTATGTACAGTTCAGTGGAGGCTGGTGTAAGGAGCTATAGTAGGATGGGCTCATTGTAATGGCTGGAATGGAATAAATGGAACGGTAATGGAACAAAGTCAAACGTGGTTTCCATTTGTTTGATACCGTTCCATGTATTCCATTCCAGCCATTACAATGAGCCCATCCTACTATAGCTCCTCCCACCAGCCTCCACTGGTACAGTTAAGCAGTGGTCTTACCTCGCATGGCACATGTTCTCCCCTACTGTGAACAAAGTCCCTAAAGCCATTGATGGTGGAAACACACGGGAGGGAGAAGCGTTGGCACAGGATGCGAATGTCTTCTTCCCCCGAATCGAGAGGCTCTGGCCAGCTCTCTCTCCAGGATGTTTACCTGACGGGTCATGTGTGCGTGTGCTCGGACTGCTTGTCAGCTGCAGACGTGCCTTTAAATGCTTGTGGTTTTGAACAGGCGGCTTCTCATGTTATTTATATTTACATTTTAGTCATTTAGCAGACGCGCTTATCCAGAGCGACTTGCAGGAGCAATTAGGGTTAAGTGCCTTGCTCAAAGGCTCATCGACAGATTTTTCACCTATCAGCTCGGGGGATTCAAACCACCCAGGCTGGATAGGAACTGCTGGTTATTCTTTTTCAACGTTCTGATTGGCCAAAGTGGTCAAGCCTCTGCCCGGCCTCCGCAGTACACACACGTAGCGTATAGTTCTTCATCATTCTCGCCACCGCCAGAGAGAAGACAGGGAAGAAATCCCAATTTACCTAGGCTACTATACAGTACATAGGCTATTTATTTGGTTTGTCATACTATCGATTTTCATTGGCTGGGTTTTTAGATTCAACATGGCTAACTGTTTGTTAGCAAGGCAATTTTATCAGCTACAGTTTGTGTTGTGAGAGGCATGGCTGATCTTGGTCTAGGCTAGCTAGCAGCTGTTATTTGCTGAAATCTGGTTGCACAAATAACGTTAGCTAGCAAGCCAAGTGAGCAATGCCCATTGCATGTATTATATATTAGCAGCGTGGCAGTTTCCCAAAGTTTGTTGATGAATATGAACTTTATTTAGCTAGCTATGCTTTGTGGAAGAATGTGGAATATAAGTTATTATCAACATTGAGTTGTGCTGCACGATCTGTCCATACAACTACAGTCTCGTTGGCTTGTAGCTACTGGCTAGCTAACTGGCTAGAGCAGGCAAGGACGTTCGCTATCTTATTTGTACTTATATGTTCGTTTACAAAGATGACTTCAGCCTTATATATTTAAAAAAAAACTTCCTTGGCAAAATATTGCTAGCTTTCCTCGCTTGTTGGTTAGATACCTAAACAACAGTAGCACTCATCTGACTGGTATAACGTTATGTTAGCTACCATTAGCTAGCTACAGCTGCTGGGTAGCTAGCTAGCGACCTAGCTAGGTAATCAAAACAAAACCACACTCATTGGTTTATCAAATCAGAAACAGCTCACTTATAACTAATAACAACCGACCCATTTTTTTTTATGTCGGACCAATTATCTGTACGCATTTATTGATTAACCTCAGCTTGAATACCAACATATACAGTAGCCTAGGTTTGTTCTCAAGCACTTCTTATGCTTGGTGCAGGCTGCCAGTTGTGTTGTTGAGCAACCGAGTTGCTGGGCCCGGTTTTAGATAGAACTCTGAGATTCGGCTGAAACATATGTTAGCATTGTCAGAAATGCAACAAAAAGGTACCACCCTATTGGTTCTTATTGAGCACGTGAGAGTGATACATTATACATTTTATCAAAACTGTTGCCTCTACAAGCATATTCAGTCTGAAAGTTGGCAAGTCTAATGGTCACTTTATGGACGCTGTAGTCTTGTTCTTATCCAACGCCTAGATATTGAGCTAGGTCGTGGCAAAAATTTTTATTTTTTCCTAATGCTAAAAATCCGGTATGTGGTTCTCTGTAACGGCCGGACAGCTCATGACGAGGGCCGCCTCATTCATCTCTGCTCTTAGCAAAAGAGTGCCATCTCCACTGCTATTTTAGTTAATCATTTTTTTGTTTGTTGGGTATTCTGTATAGTTGTCTAACGTTGGTGGGGCATATTATTCTGTTTTAATGTTACTCCTGAATCACTATGATAAATATGAGTTTTTCTTGAGTGCATTTTTAACAGAACTGAGCTTTACTTTGAAGTTCAAACTGTAGGAATTAATACAGGTAAAATTGACACAGACATGGTGGTGTAGCAGGAAGATCCGAATGCTGTGAACCAAGAGGTAGTGAGTTTCAATCTCAGGTAGGACATGTTGAATAATAATTACTGCATAAATACACAATGTAATCATGTAGGATATGTAAGTTTAACACTGTGTGTTAAAAGCACTGTGGGTGTCCCTAACATTTACAACAGACAAAGAGCTGTGAACAGATTAGTGGTTCACCAATCAGGACCTTGATGGGCTTGGCAACAGTAACAAGGGGTGATGTGTAATGAAACTAGAGTGCACGTGCCATGGGTATAACTTTTTTTGGGGTGGGGACCATCAGGTGATGTCCTCGGAACAACCCTGGAACTAGACAAAAACCTACAGGGGATCATGACAGAAAGTCCTGACAACATCCTAAAATCATCCTTGGGGACGACGTCCTTGGGACAAACCGGGATCTAGACAAAACCTCCAGGGGACCATGACACAACCAGGGATGTAGTGAAGGGTAAACACACGTAAACGCTGTTTATGCACCTTATAATTTGTGCAATAGTGTTTACTCTTTACCCTTTTATTTTGTAAATTAGCATTTACTCACTTATATTGCGTTCCCAGTGTTGATCAAAGCTCAGAATGCTTATATTGTTGATCTGAGTGCCTGCATCTTTGCGACCGAGTCATATCATGAACAGTTGTTTGTTCGTTGTTTGCCTGCACCTTCCGGATTTATCCCCCGGTTTTCCTTGTTAGCAGCACATTCACCACTATCTCAACCGGCTAACTCCGCCCTCTTGCAAGTCACGGCACAGGCCAAACCACCCCAGCTCGGAGTCGGGCTCAGCAGACCAACAGCAAACGGCAATACAAGTAGGCAACTAGACGCCGCTGATAGACTCGTGGCTTTGTGAGATGCCGGTCATAAGGCACTTTTTTTTTACGTCCGCGACCCCTGCCGTATTTCAGTCACGTGGCTATCTGCCGGCAGAGACTTCTATTAGTACTGCAGTAGCTAATGTTAAATGACTCTGGCTAAACTCAGCTACTGCTCTGTTCAATCGTTGGGCATCTTTTGAGTTCAATTTCTTTACGTCAACATTTTTCAGAGACAGCAGTGTATGCATTAATGAATCAATTTTACAATCATACAATCAATTTGACTTTGTTATTACCAATCTAACTACATAACAAAATAATGGTAATCATTTATTTGAATGGTAAACAAAATGAGAGAGAGAGAGAGATGCTTGGGAGGATGCTGCGGTGGACTGACCAGTTGATCTAGCTAATGTTAGCTAGCTACACGGTTGACACTGCCGCTAGCTTAGCCAGGTTATCTAGTGGCAACCTAATGTTTATTAGTTAGCTATTGCCACACACATCTGATTAATCAGAGTCAGTTCGCTGAGGCAATAAGATAATAATAGATAATCTTTGGGAGATGTGAGAGAGAGACCGATTTAAGTGAATGAATAAAGTTTTGGTGGCAATCGGCTTTGAAATCAGCATATTTTGCGTTATGGTTAGCGTATTACTAGTATTAGGGGTAGTGAATTCATGTTGGCTTCAGCTGTAAGCTAGCAAGGAAAGTTAGCCTACAAAGCTGGAAGCTACCGGTATCGTCTTGCATTGTAAAGTGTTCTAGCATGTATGGACATTGTTTTGCGAACAGTAATTTACAGTTTAAAAATGTCTACATGCAATGTTGCATTATTCAAGTGTGTTAACCTGTGTGCAGCATGAGTGGGGAGCTAACATGATGCAGTCCAGACTCCTAGTGCAGGCTAGGTGGAGCAGGCACGGTGCGCTCGCGCTATAAGGGATACATCGGCTGCGCTGATACAGACTTGATCCGTGAGACACATTTGACAGAAGTAACAAAAATTCTAGTACAGTTTTTCATGTTCTAGTATCGAGCACTGAAGTTTCAGTATATCGTGTAACTCAATGGTGTAAGCTCACTTACTTGCTTTCACCTTGATTCCTGCCCAGTCACGGTAGCTATCCAGGTTCTCGATCAGCCGGGAGCAGAGTTTCACATGGCCAACGTAATCCAGGAGCACATCTATGATGGGTCCTGCCCAGTGGCTAATTTTCGGATCGGAGATTGCCTCACAGAACTGAAAATGAAGGGTTCAAATTGGATTCAAAGAACAACCCGAGATGGATCCCATCTGCATTGCACATTAACCCAACTTACCTGGACGCAAGTGTTGCGTCGAGCTTCGTCCTCGTCAGTAATGTAGTGCAAAGTTTCGCCGAAGACGCTGCCCCTTCTTGAAATTCTCAGGGGTGGGTGTGGCTTGCTGCCATATGTGCAGTCAAAACAGGAAAGGGCATCACAGCCATTGGACATCAGATACTTCAGATAGTTCAGGATGTGCAGATACTTCATACCGAGCATGACCACTGCTGGGAAGGAGCAGGGGTGTGTGGGGATGGACGCATTCATGTTAGCTCCATGCTCCACTAGAGCGGTGATCATTTCCATGTAACCCTGCCTCACAGCGATAAGAAGAGGGTTGAACATGTCAAGGTTGGGGTTAGCGCCTGCCTCCAGAAGCATGTTGGCGGCCTCTAAGTTGCTGTTGGTGACAGCAAAGTAGAGGGCTGTGCTGCGATGGTCCTCATACATTTTGGATCGGTCTTCTGCGAGCTGGACATTGACGTCATAGCCTGCCTCGATAAGCATCTCCAGGATCCAGTCCCTGTTGTGCTCGGCAGCCAGGTGGAGGGGACTGATGCCACTGCGTTGAACTTTGACCTTGCAGGTGGCAGGGATCAGCATGGACACAATTCTACAGAAGAGAAGCACAGGGATCAAATTGAAAGGGAAATGTTTTGCTCGAAGAGAAATCAATGCTTTAAATTAACCAATCAATCAATTCATTGCACTCACTCAAAATGTCCTTTCTGGACAGCTACATGAAGAGGCAGGAGGCCAGACTTGGTTGTTCGGTTAGCATCTGCTTTATGAGATAGAAGCAGTTCCACAACTTCCTTGTGACCATTCTTACTTGCCTCATACAGAGGTGTTTCCCCATTCCTTGCCTGGCTGTTTATATCAGCACCTACAATACACAAGAGCATACACAACATTTATACAATGTTGAAATACAGGAAAACTGGCAACACTGCAACACCACCAGGAACAGATAGTCTGGATGCTTAATGTTTTTTTTCAAATCTGTTCATGCCATTGGAAAGATTAGAATACTTTTTCCAAGATGTAGGCATCAGATACTAGGACATAGAAGTAGTGTTCAGGTTCAATATGTTATGAACTTGTTGTGCTTAAGATCCCAAACTGCATCTTTAAAATAATCAATAAAAAATAATATTGAAGCTGGCTTGTGAAAATTTAAAAACGACTCACCTTTGCTAATCAAGAAGTGCAACACGTCCACTCCCCCATTCTGTGTTGCCACATAGAAAGGTTCCATCACGTAATTATTGATTGCATTAAGCTTGGCCCCAGCCTCCAACAACATCTGGCAAATTTCCACATTAGCATGCCCGGCTGCTTCATGGAGAGGTGTCTCACCCTGAACACAAGCCTTGTGTACTGAGGCTCCATACTTCAGGAGGTGGTCTACAATCTCCACATTGGGCTTCTCGCAAGCTGAAAACGCAATGTGACAAACAACACAGGTAACTTTGGTTGAATATTGCTGTTTGTAAAACTTAAGCTGATTGTGTAACAGTGGTGGACTTCGCCAGTATGACCAGTAACCTAGCTTAAGACCTGGAGACTTGTCTTAGCCCCAAGCGCTAACACCTACAGATGTCAGATCTTAATATGACCCATTTCGTCGCAGGAGGATAATAATCCTGCAGCAGGAGGATTTGAATGGATATTTAATATTTTGAATCGCCGCAAGGGGGCAGCTGGAAGCGGTGTTTGTAGGCCATACAATAACTTAGACTGCAGGTCCACTGGGAATCAGTCAAGTAGCCTATGTAGGCTACGTGCAGGCTACAGCGAGTCTCATGTGAATTCTTATGTGAATTATAATAAATTGACAATATTTGTAGGGGTAGATGTACTTTTCGTTAGGGAAAATCTTTTTTTATATCAATGATTTTATTATATGTTGAAGGCAAGCAATAGGCAGAATAAATGTATGGTTGTCTCAGTGCCTGTGTGGTCCAGCACAAACCCGTCGCCAGTCTTAAGGGGGGCATATGAAATGCATGGGAGGGCAGGGCACAATTATTATTAGCCTACAGTACGTATATTTAATAATAAATTCCCTCAAGTGGGGGGGGGCACAAGCATTTTTGGGGGCGGGCCCGGCCCCCTATGGCCCGCCCATAGCGACGGGTGTGGTCCAGCAGGTACAGCTGCTGACCCTGGCACACATATGCCAGAGTAGGCATTGGTTCAAATCCAGCCCACTACTGCCCTTTGAGTTTTTGGAGGAACTAGTACTTTTCTAGTTATTCTCTGTGGGCTGTACTTCTACTCTTACTCAAGTAATTTCTGAAAGAAGTAACTTACTTTTTACTTTGTTACATTTCATCAAATCACTTCAGTTACATAGATTTATATTATTATATACCTGCTGTCAGATGAAAACCTCCTAACGAAAGTTGGTGATTTTCATTTTTGAACATGAATCGATACTATTGGTTCCCCTTTACGTCTGTATAAACGTTTCACATCCCCTAGACTAATGAAATGTATTCAAAATAGCTTGTCATCAAAACTCTTATCTACTCCACGGATCTTGAAGTGAAGCGCACGTCTTCACTAGTAATGGGAAGTTCGGCTGTTTTTACTGACTCAGATCTTTTCAACTCGTTCAGTCAAATTAACAAATCTTTCGACACATTTCATTCATTTCATTCAGTAATGCCCAGAGCACGCAGGACCCCCTACCGGCAAATGATGAACTAAAAACTCGAAAGAACCATGATTCTACAAGTCTCTCGTTCACCATAGGGGGCTTGTTATTGGAGCTGTCTATTGATACCTTTGAAACGAGGTCTAGTTGCGGCCGCAACCGGACTAGATTGTGAACAACTCTTGGCAGAATGACACTGCTCGACATGCCTGGCTACCCAAACTCCTTTCTCCGCCCAAATGCCACGCCCACGGACTTTAGAGCAGCAGAAGAATTCAGATTGAGTTGTAAGGCAACTGCTTGACTGCCGCGAGGGAGATTAGCACAATATAGTTCGCGAACTGCAGCAGCTCCCAAACGATTAGTTCTCGAGTTCGAGTTTTGAGCAGAGGCAGGCTGAGTGTGTTTTGGTTCTACTAAAAGCTGTGTCCATCAAGTAACATTCAATAATCAATTAATAGCATTCATTCTTGCACCATGTGATCAATTATCAGTTCTAAACATGTATTTTTCTCCTCTATGCTGCCTGCAGCATGATCTATTTCCCCTCGCGCACATGATAGACAGTTGCTGGTTGGAGCACATCTCCATAGCCGCTGAGCTGGAGGAGCGCGTATTAATCCTGCTGTAGAATTCATTGTAGCCAGCAGACTAAAATGAACGAGTAACTCGGAAAAACGAATCATGACTCTCGAGTCAGTAAAAAGAGTCATTCAAAAATAACGAATCGTTCGTGAACTGCACATCACTAGTCTTCACTCCTGAGGATATTTTGTTCTTCGGTTCTTAGCCAGACGCAATCAGAGGTAAGTTGCATTTTAATTACCTTCTGCCTTTGTAATATGATATATTTCTGGAGTAAGATAAACATTTCTAAGATACACCATATATTCAAAAGTATGTGGACACCCCTTCAAATTAGTGGATTCGGCTATTTCAGCCACACCCGTTGCTGACAGGTGTATAAAATCGAGCACACAGCCATACAATCTCCATGGACAAACATTGGCAGTAGAATGGCCTTACTGAAGAGCTCAGTGACATTCAACGTGGCACCGTCATAGGATGCCACCTTTCCAACAAGTCAGTTTGTCAAATTCCTGCCCTGCTAGAGCTGCCCTGGTCAACTGTAAGTGCTGTTATTGTGCAGTGGAAACGTCTAGGAGCAACAACGGCTCAGCCGCAAAGTGGTAGGCCACACAAGCTTACAGAACAGGAGCGCCTAAAAATCGTCTGTCCTCGGTTGCAACACTCACTTCCCAAGTTCCAAACTGCCTCTGGAAGCAACGTCAGCACAATAATTGTTCGTTGGGATCTGGAGTGGTGTAAAGCTCGCCGCCATTGGACTCTGGAGCAGTGGAAACGTGTTCTCTGGAGTAATGAATCGTTCTTTACCATCTGGCAGTCCGACGGACAAATCTGGGTTTGGCGGATGCCAGGAGAACGCCACCAGCCCCAATGTATAGTGCCAACTGTAAAGTTTGGTGGAGGAGGAATAATGGTCTGGGGCTGTTTTTCATGGTTCGGGCTAGGCCCCTTTTTCCAGTGAAGGGAAATCGTAATGCTACAGCATACAATGACATTCTTGACGATTCTGTGCTTCCAATTTTGTGACAACAGTTTGGGGAAGGCACTTTCCTGTTTCAGCATGACAATGCCCCCGTTCAGAAAGCGAGGTCCATACAGAAATGGTTTGTTGAGATCGGTGTGGAAGAACTTGACTGGCCTGCACAGAGCCCTGACTTCAACCCCATTGAACACCTTTGGGATGAATTGGAATGCCGACTGCGAGCCTGGCCTAATCGCCCAACATCAGTGCCCGACCTCACTAATGCTCTTGTGGCTGTATGGAAGCAAGTTCCCTCAGCAATGTTCCAACGTCTAGTGGAATGCCTTCCCAGAAGAGTGGAGGCTGTTATAGCAGCAAAGGGATTTTGGAATGGATGTTCGACGAGCAGTTGTCCACATACTTTTGGTCATGTACAGTATAATTCTGCTGTTGAAATTGTGTTTTGAGGGCAAGTGTAAATCAAATGTCTAGGTAGATAACTAGCTAGATCTCCTGTTTTTAGCTCCCAATATGATCTCCGTTTGTTAGCCAACTAGCCACCTTGTCATTGGCATAAAGAGTGAACAGATTAATCAGATGTGTGTGGCAATAGCTAACTAACAAATATTAGGTTGGCAATAAACATTAGGTTGCCACTAGATACACTGGCTAAGCTAGCTGGTGAGCTGCGGTGTCAACCGCATAGCTAGCTAACGTTAGCTAGATCAACGGGTCAGTCCACAGCAGCATCCTCCCACGCATTGCTCTCTCTCTCTCTCTCTCTGTCTCTGTCTCTGTGTGTGTCTAAATGTCATCTCAGCAAGCTTTTTGTGCTATATATTAGAAATAAAATAAAAATTGTGTATGTGTGTATTTTTATTTACAGCTTGTAGCGGCACAACTGAGGGTGATAATAATGCCCAGCCAAGAAAATAAAATACCCTTCAAAGTGGAATGGAGAGGTTCGGAAGAGGAGGATGGAGGGTAAAACCGGTTTTGTCTAGAAGGGATACAGCTTTTGTCAAATTGACTTTTCGTTGCAGGTTAGGAGAATTAATGTAGCAGGTTAGGAGGTTAAGGTTAGGAAAAGGGTTAGGGTTAGCTAAAATGCAAAAAATAATAACAATCTGTATCCCATCTAGACATGACCGGTAAAGGTAGGCCTACCGTAGAAGTTGAGTTACAGTGGGGAAAAAAAGTATTTAGTCAGCCACCAATTGTGCAAGTTCTCCCACTTAAAAAGATGAGAGAGGCCTGTAATTTTCATCATAGGTACACGTCAACTATGACAGACAAAATGAGATTTTTTTTCTCCAGAAAATCACATTGTAGGATTTTTTATGAATTTATTTTCAAATTATGGTGGATAATAAGTATTTGGTCAATAACAAAAGTTTCTCAATACTTTTGTTATATACCCTTTGTTGGCAATGACACAGGTCAAACGTTTTCTGTAAGTCTTCACAAGGTTTTCACACACTGTTGCTGGTATTTTGGCCCATTCCTCCATGCAGATCTCCTCTAGAGCAGTGATGTTTTGGAGCTGTCGCTGGGCAACACGGACTTTCAACTCCCTCCAAAGATTTTCTACGGGGTTGAGATCTGGAGACTGGCTAGGCCACTCCAGGACATTAAAATGCTTCTTACGAAGCCACTCCTTCGTTGCCCGGGCGGTGTGTTTGGGATCATTGTCATGTTGAAAGACCCAGCCACGTTTCATCTTCAATGCCCTTGCTGATGGAAGGAGGTTTTCACTCAAAATCTCACGATACATGGCCCCATTCATTCTTTCCTTTACACGGATCAGTCGTCCTGGTCCCTTTGCAGAAAAACAGCCCCAAAGCATGATGTTTCCACCCCCATGCTTCACAGTAGGTATGGTGTTCTTTGGGTGCAACTCAGCATTCTTTGTCCTCCAAACACGACAAGTTTAGTTTTCACCAAAAAGTTATAGTTTGGTTTCATCTGACCATATGACATTCTCCCAATCCTCTTCTGGATCATCCAAATGCACTCTAGCAAACTTCAGACGGGCCTGGACATGTACTGGCTTAAGCAGGGGGACACGTCTGGCACTGCAGGATTTGAGTCCCTGGCGCCGTAGTGTGTTACTGATGGTAGGCTTTGTTACTTTGGTCCCAGCTCTCTGCAGGTCATTCACTAGGTCCCCCCATGTGGTTCTGGGATTTTTGCTCACCGTTCTTGTGATCATTTTGACCCCACGGGTGAGATCTTGCGTGGAGCCCCAGATTGAGGGAGATTATCAGTGGTCTTGTATGTCTTCCATTTCCTAATAATTGCTCCCACAGTTGATTTCTTCAAACCAAGCTGCTTACCTATTGCAGATTCAGTCTTCCCAGCCTGGTGCAGGTCTACAATTTTGTTTCTGGTGTCCATTGACAGCTCTTTGGTCTTGGCCATAGTGGAGTTTGGAGTGTGACTGTTTGAGGTTGTGGACAGGTGTATTTTATACTGATAACAAGTTCAAACAGGTGCCATTAATACAGGTAACGAGTGGAGGGCAGAGGAGCCTCTTAAAGAAGAAGTTACAGGTCTGTGAGAGCCAGAAATCTTGCTTGTTTGTAGGTGACCAAATACTTATTTTCCACCATAATTTGCAAATAAATTCATTAAAAATCCTATAATGTGATTTTCTGGATTTTTTTCTCTCAATTTGTCTGTCATAGTTGACGTGTACCTATGATGAAAATTACAGGCCTCTCTCATCTTTTTAAGTGGGAGAACTTGCACAATTGGTGGCTGACTAAATACTTTTTTTCCCCCACTGTATGATGAACTTCACAGGGTGGTGAAAGTGCACGGTGATGAGCTTGATTCTCCTTTCCAATAAATATTGAGGGTCTTATTCTGGTGACATGATGATCGATGCTTGACTGCCGTTTGACAAGTAAAAATATTCTCGCTCTTATCCATAATAATCTCATCATGTACAGTAGACTAGCTTACCCGCACTATATCTGTAAGCTGTTAACTAGAGCACAAGTCCCAAGATCAGAGTAGGCACATTTATTTAACGCAACAGTGTTGTGACAAAACTATTTGTAGAGTTGAAAATGTAATGGAAACACATTGAACTTTAGTTTTTTATTCGGTACATGAAAACTTAAGCGAAAAAGGAAACCTAGCTATAGAAGTAAAGTATTTCCTTGTTTACCATGGCAAATATACTGTGGCAATTTACCTGACACTTTGTATAAATGGAAACTAATGTTGGTATAGCCTACCCTACTGACTGTTATTATTTTATTTGTTTACTATTTATGTTATCCATAAGTGTCTAGTATGGTCATTTCTTATTGAGATCGGGGGTAAAATAACCCTGGACTGTCCATATTTGAAATGTGTAACTACATCAAGTCAATCGGGGGATTGCATCATTAGTACCAGAAGAGCTTGGGCCAGAATCGAACCCTTAGGATACACTAGACACTTGTATGTTATAGCCTAGTGGAGACCAATATCTATATTGTGTTATTAAGCTTTATAAAACGACAGTTGTTGGTGTGTGTGTGGCTGCATTTCAGATACATTTTTGTACATTTGAATGTTGCAGTAATAGGGCCTAGGCCTATAGCGTTTGAGGGAGCGAGAACGTTATTTTAAGATCGCAAGCCCTGATCCCAATGACTCGACTTCCCCCGCATGGAGAGAAAGACAACTGCTTATTTTTTAGCCTCTGACGAGGCTCATTTGAATTTCCTGATGCATCAGGAAAATTCTCTGCGACAAAAGAATGATCAAGTTAAGATCTGACATCTGTAGGATATATTTACCTTTGAAGAGTGGTGTTTCTCCATCCTTATTGGCAATGTCTGGATTGGCACCTCTGTCCAGAAGGCACTCCACACAGTTCACATGGTGAAAGGTGGCAGCCAAAAGAAGTGGGGTCTGATTGTAACTACCACATGTGTTCACCATACCAGGATGGGCTGTAGGAACGACAACAGAGCTTTGTGACCAAAGCAAGTGAAAATAATGAGCATGTACTGATAAAGGATCTGCCTGAGATCCAAGAGAACTGTGTGTATAAAATAGAAACCATTCTCAATTACACTTGTCTTTGTTTTACTCTCACCTCTTAATAGAATCTTGAGGCATTCTTTTTGACCGTAATATGCAGCTTCGTGTAGAGAAATCCATCCTTCCTGATTTGGTACCAAGAGACTCATTGGGTTACATTTCACTATCTCTTTCAAAGCCTTTAAATCACCATTCTTGATCACTGTCACCAGGGGTCTTGCATCTCTAAAACATAGACAAAGATTAAGGAGAAAATTGTCATTCAATTTAGTGTCATTGTGACTCTTGTTCAAAACCAACCTATCCTCAATTATCAATTTAAGTAAGTAGAAGTAGCCATATCATGTAAACATTAGCGGCATCAGGACACACATTGTGGAAAACCTGTGTTACTGCTGTCCCTGTTAGAGAGATGTCTCAATACTCACCATCTGATTTCTATGTTGGGAATTATGGAATTATAATAAATCTGTGCACCAACTAAATGCTCATCAAAATAATGATTTGTTTTCACACTCATCCTTTCTGGCATACATACTGTCAAAATAAGTTAAAGGGTTGACAGACTAACATAATAGGGTCTGCTGATGGAGGGTTTGCAGGTGAGGTGTTTGGATGTGGGTTGGCTGGGTTCGGATTGGCTCTGGGAAAGTCATACATGTGCCTTGTTGCAGAGGGGAGCCTGAAACGGGTCGTGAATTGATTTGGCTGGTAATTGGGTTGCCGATCCACAGGTTGTGATGATTGAATTGACCCAATAGAGTTGTTGTCCTCAATGAGGCTGCGATCGATGGCCAGCTTCATCAGCTCGTCATCTGACAGGGCGCTGTAAGGACTGTAGTCATCAAAACCTCTAGGGGTGACCATTGCTCCAGACATGGTCGATCTGGTTGCAAGGATACAAAAGTCATGACAATGAAACATACTACAATGTAACTGCACTTTTAAAACTGTATTCAGTATGTAACCAAAATCACGTCAAAGTAAAATGGCTAAAAATAAAAATACATATTTTATATGAAAGCCAATATATGACCAGTCAAAACTCATGATCATTAAGGATTCAGATTTTGTTGGCCCCATATTCAAGTAATAGTATACATTTCAGCTTCAATGTTGGTATCGATTGCAAAGAAATGAAATACGCCTGTAATACTCATGTAACTTGAGTGTGTCAACAAGATGTGAAAGACTGCACAAGTAGTTGTTGAAATTTGCTGCACATGTACTAATGCCAAAGAGGTAATTCAAGACAACTTTGAGTTCAAATATTGCAGATACATTTTATTGCCAAGTCAATGTTGTGGGTATATAGTGTATTGTTTTAGCCAAGCACTAACACACCTTTATTCTACTTGCCACCAAGCTCTTGATAAGTGTTAATGCTGGGATATAACATAAATATGCACATCATATAGCCCATTTCAAACAGACAGTGGGAACTTAAGCCAAAAGCTTAATATTTTTTAAACTTGATTTGAAGCTGTACATAATTCGTTTACAAAGTCTCCTATGAGAACAAAAACATAAACAATGGAGTAGTATACATTTAGTTTTTGGTTATGATAGCGTAACATACAGTAGCTGTACCAATGTCATTCATAAATGGAAATGACAGAAAATCTTAGACTGTAATGTCGATTGCAAACCACATGGTTAGGGTTAGGTTAATTCATGACATTTCTTGATGTAATTTCTCTACAGTAACTATACTAGTATACAATTTTAAACAGTAATTCAACCATTCCTTTCCACTAAGGCATTGTTTTCTAGACCATTGTTTTGAGGTGCAGCAGTTATAAGATACAGCTGAGTAATAACTTCCTAGCTGGTTACCAAAGTAATTTTGCTGAAGGCAACTTAGTGTAAATTGCAATTAATGAAAATATGCATGCATAAAGTCCTTATACAGCTTATTAATAACATGGTTATTAGCATAAACAATCTAATGTAGCTGAAGCCAACTTAGTAAAGTAAAAAAACTAAAAAACATAGACATGCTATCGCTACCTTTCAGAGTCTGCAGTGTGCAGTCAAAACACTGTAACTGTAGACCAGCAGTTGTTAGATTGCAGTTATCGAGACGTGATGAGGATTTGAAAATGTCTTGTACTCTGAGTGGTTCTCCATGCGAATGAAGAAAAAGCAACAGCTCCAATGTTCATGACATATTCCAAAGTGGGTCTTGATTTCATGTTTTGCCAAGCTGACCCATGATGGCAAAGTTTGCTTGCATGTGTTGCTCAGAATAGGGATGCCCTACTTCAGATATGGCATGGTTGATGCTGACAGCTAAGTTCCTAGAGGGGGAGGGGGGGGGGGAGTTAAGAAGGTCATACCAAGGATCATTTAGCTATTGGATTTTGAATTTTAGGACCCTTATAGGTATAAAATATATATATATATATATATATATATTATGTTTAAAAAAATAAATGTATTTGATGAAACATTGAATTTGGCCTTACTACTATTATCCCATAGAAACAGATAGTCAAAAATAAATCTGTATGTTAGCTTAGTTTTACACCTCTCAAACACAGGAAATTGATGGCTGAAAAGTAGAAACCCTCAGGTGGGGTATGCACATAGCTTTTTTGAACAAAATAATATGGAATGCATACATCCACTCTTTTGCCTTATTAAAACAAACAGCTGATTCAAGAAGAAACATAAGCAGAATTTAATGATCGGTGAGCTAATGGTGGCAAGCAAAATTTAAAAAATCTGTCCTCTCATCCATGTTGCAAGATGTACTTGATCAGTCTACCAGGAAGGGGTAGGGTGTTGAGGTGCTTCAGTCTGTGCACTCCCACCTGCTTGTAAATCTTCAGTCTGCACAGTTGCATCAGTGGACATGGTGGCCCCAGGACACGAGGATCAAATAAAAGCTTGTGTTACGAGGTGGGAACCAGTACTGCAGTTTGAAAATCTGACAGTGGGTTTTTACATTTACATTTACGTCATTTAGCAGACGCTCTTATCCAGAGCGACTTACAGGAGCAATTAGGGTTAAGTGCCTTGCTCAAGGGCACATCGACAGATTTTTCACCTAGTTGGGCCCCCCCCCCCCCCCCCCCCCCCCCCCTAAGCCCCCCCCCCCCCCCCCCCCCCCCCCCCCGGCTTTGACTAGGCCATTCCAAGATATTTAACTGTTTCCCCTTAAACTACTCAAGTGTTGCTTTAGCAGTATGCTTAGGGTCATTGTCCTGCTGGAAGGTGAACCTCCGTCGCAGTCTCAAATCTCTGGAAGACTGAAACAGGTTTCCCTCAAGAATTTCCCTGTATTTAGCGGCATCCATCATTCCTTCAATTCTGACCAGAGTACCTTCTTCCATATGTTTGGGGAGTCTCCCACATGCCTTTTGGCGAACACCAAACATGCTTTTTTCTGGCCACTCTTCCCTGCTCTGTGGAGTGTATGGCTTAAAGTGGTCCTATGGACAGATACTCCAATCTCCGCTGTGGAGCTTTGCAGCTCCTTCAGGGTTATCTTTGGTCTCTTTGTTGCCTCTCTGATTAATGCCCTCCTTGCCTGGTCCGTGAGTTTTGGTGGGCAGCCCTCTCTTGGCAGGTTTGTTGTGGTGCCATATTCTTTCCATTTTTTAATAATGGATTTAATGGTGCTCCGTGGGATGTTCAAAGTTTCTGATATTTTTTTATAACCCAACCCTGATCTGTACTTCTCCACAACTTTGTCCCTGACCTGTTTGGAGAGCTCCTTGTTCTTCATGGTGCCCCTTGCTTAGTGGTGTTGCAGACTCTGGGGCCTTTCAGAACAGGTGTATATATACTGAGATCATGTGACAGATCATGTGACACTTAGATTGCACACTGGTGGACCTTATTTAACTAATTATGTGACTTCTGAAGGTAATTGGTTGCACCATATCTTATTTAGGGGCTTCATAGCAAAGGGGGTGAATACATATGGACTCACCACTTTTCCGTTATTTATTTTTTTGAATTTTTTGAAACAAGATATTTTTTGCATTTCACTTCACCAATTTGGACTATTTTGTATATGTCCATTACATGAAATCCAAATAAAAATCCATTTAAATTACAGGTTGTAATGGAACAAAATAGGAAAAACGCCAAGGGGGATGAATACTTTTGCAAGGCACTGTAATTTTCTGCAGTTCTGCACATTTTGCCATGGCTTTTGCTGTGTTCTTATGCTATCTGAGTGACTCAAACATTATAACAACATCAATGGGGGCCCCATGCCATGCCATGTTTGGAATTTTAGATTCTCTCTGACTGTCTAGTTTTTATTTTGGTGGTTGTTAGGTCTCAAAGATGATCATATAAATATATAGCTCCATTATATGTTTTTAGTTGTTTAAGTTTACACTGAAAATGTTTTACCATCCCAAATTCATTTTTTTAGCATATTTTTGGGAGTGGACAGAAAAAACAGCTCACCTTTGTTTAGCCAGTGACCAATCAAATCAAATTTCATGCATTGCGCCAAAACAGACAAATAAAATCAAGCTTGAGTACAGTACAGTAGAGCACAGTACAGTAGAGTACAGTACAGTAGAGCACAGTACAGTAGAGTACATTACAGTAGAATACAGTAGAGTAGGGTACATACAGTGCAGTATAGTAGAGCACAGTACAGTACAATAGAGCACAGTACAGTAGAGCACAGTACAGTAAAGTAGAGTACAGAAAAGTAGAGTATAGTAAAGTAGAGTACAGTACAGTACATTAGAGTACAGTACAGTAGATCACAGTAGAGCACAGTAAAGTAGAGTACAGTAAAGTGGTACAGTAAAGTGGTACAGTACAGTTGTGGTCAAAAGTTTTGAGAATTACACAAATATTAATTTTCACAAATTCTGCTGCCTCAGTTTTTATGATGGCAATTTGCATATACTCCAGAATGTTATGAAGAGTGATCAGATGAATTGCAATTAATTGCAAAGTCCCTCTTTGCCATGAAAATGAACTTAATCATTTCCACTGCATTTCAGCCCTGCCACAAAAGGACCAGCTGACATCATGTCAGTGATTCTCTCGTTAACACAGGTGAGAGTGTTGACGAGGACAAGGCTGGAGATCACTCTGTCATGCTGATTGAGTTAGAATAACAGACTGGAAGCTTTAAAAGGAGGGTGGTGCTTGAAATCATTGTTCTTCCTCTGTTAACCATGGTTACCTGCAAGGAAACACGTGCCGTCATCATTGCTTTGCACAAAAAGGGCTTCACAGGCTAGTAAGATTGCACCTAAATCAACCATTTATCGGATCATCAAGAACTTCAAGGAGAGAGGTTCAATTGTTGTGAAGAAGGCCTCAGGGCACCCAAGAAAGTCCAGCAAGCGCCAGGACCGTCTCCTAAAGTTGATTCAGCTGCGGGATCGGGGCACCACCAGTGCAGAGCTTGCTCAGGAATGGCAGCAGGTAGGTGTGAGTGCATCTGCACGCACAGTGAGGCGAAGACTTTTGGAGGATGGCCTGGTGTCAAGAAGGGCAGCGAGGAAGCCACTTCTCTCCAGGAAAAACATCAGGGACAGACTAATATTCTGCAAAAGGTACAGGGATTGGACTGGTGAGGACTGGGGTAAAGTCATTTTCTCTGATGAATCCCCTTTCCGATTGTTTGGGGCATCCGGAAAAAAGCTTATCCGGAGAAGACAAGGTGAGCGCTACCATCAGTCCTGTGTCATGCCAACAGTAAAGCATCCTGAGACCATTCATATGTGGGGTTGCTTCTCAGCCAAGGGAGTGGGCTCACTCACAATTTTGCCTAAGAACACAGCCATGAATAAAGAATGGTACCAACACATCCTCCGAGAGCAACTTCTCCCAACCATCCAAGAACAGTTTGGTGACGAACAATGCCTTTTCCAGCATGATGGAGCATCTTG